AGCAGAAACGTAGCAGCGAAGGTTGCGGTTAGCAGGAGCCGCTGTGGGCTAGTGTTAGCCAACCGTTGCCCTTCCCATAAAGGAAACCCCCCAGCACCTAACCGCCACTGGCCTCACAAGTGAATATGATCCTTGGAACTCAAAAAAAAAAAAAAAAGGATCCTTGACTCCAAAACAACAGAAGGGTTAGAAGATCACATATTGCAGACAATGCACATCTTCGAGCTGCCACTGGAGCCGAAATTCCAGCAACTTTGAGCGCTATAAAGAATCAAGGGCATGTGTTTCACACTATTGTATACCAAACTCCACAGGGAACCATCAGTACCTAAAAGGTGTGAGCATTTTACACGGGGAAGTTTCCAAGGAACGTACTCCACTTCCGTGCATTTGGGAAAAGCAACAGCAGAAGGTGACCAGGGTGCCACTCACTAGCTTATGAGCCCAGGATGGGAGGACAGGAACGATCTCACTGTTTTTTCCGCCTGTTCTGTAACATTTCATGCAGACCCCCATCTCAGCTGAAAAGACAGGCTCTACAGGGTCAGTAGAAGGCAACCGTAACTTGAATGTCTGTTAGGCACGGACTCTCAGCTCCAGCAGCAGACTCAGGGAGGCAAGTCCTGCAGCAGCAGACCTAACTTTCTGTCCGAGTTTGGCCAGAAATAGTTTTATGACCTCGAGCAGGTCAATTTCCCACTCTGGGCTTTAATTTACACATGTATACAAGATGAGACTGAACTTCTGGGTCAGGTTTGCAAGCTGTCACTGAATCCACAGAGTGTTGTGGAAATTGGGAGGACCCCACTTAAGCCAGAAAGGCCATGCATGTCAGATTGCAATTGATGCGTGCATTCTGCAGTCAAAGAACATCTTTTTAGGGGCGCCTGGGTGGCTCGGTTAAGCATCTGCCTTCAGCTCAGGTCATGATCCCAGGGTCCTGGGATCGAGCCCCGCATCGGGCTCCCTGCTCAGTGAGGGGCCTGCTTCTTCCTCTCCCTCTGCCTGCAGTTCCCCCTACTCGTGCTCTCTCTGTCCAATAAATAAATAAAATCTTTTAAAAAATAATACCTTTTTAGTGTTGTGTTAAACTAAGCTGCATGATCACCTTCAGCACTGGAACTCTGCCTCTGCTCGGCTCTGTCACTCGCTTCCCTGTGGGACCCTGGGTGAGTTTGCTTATACTCTCTAGTTTCCACAACCAGAAAATTAGAATCGCAGTAATTATTATTAAATGCGAAAGTATGAGGCCTTGAGAAGTAATTATTAAATTATTTCAAGATCAGTTTTTAAAAGGAATGAACTAGGAGAAATAGCACCTGCCAACTGTAAACAGGAAATAGTTTGAGTATTGGGGGGAACCTCACCCAACTATATTTTATGTATTATGGAAAAGTGTAGAAAAGAAAAAAAAGAAAAGCAGTAATTATTATTAAATGTGAAAGTATGAGGCCTATGTGTCTGGCACATGGTAAGTGTTCCACAGATATTATTTTCAGGTGCTAAAGGATGTATTTTTATCATTTCCCTCACATAGTCTTTATTATGTTTTCTAAAAGGTTTCTAGCAGCTTAAAGAAATGTGTCAAATCTTATTTAATAAAAAAAAAAAAAAGTTTTGTTTCAAAATAGACCTCAAGGCTGAAGGTTCACCTTGGATTTGAAAAGGTGTCTGTATGTGCAAGCTCCTTAGCAGATTTAAATAACCACCAAGAAAATTCTAGAATTGCTTCAACCTAGCTTATATATATGAATATATAAGTAGCTCTGCCAAGAATTGGTAACTGATTTCTTTTTACTGAAATCTAGAATAATTGCCCTCCTAGCTGAGTTGGCAGGTGAAATAATGCAGGTAGAGACCATCTCACTGCAGAGCTTGTGTTGATTTTTGCCTTGCTTTGTTTTTAATACAGTTAAGACCCTCCAGATTTAAGTTCCCACCTCAATTTTTTAGGAAAAATCTCTTCAAAATTATTTTAGGGTCGAATCCTCTGTAGTTGGTCCCAGCGGACAGTGTGCAAGGGACAGGCCTGAGGCCACGCCGAGGGGCTGGGGGGAGGAGAGGAGGTGCAGTTAGGACACCCCGGGCTTGCCCACACCGGTCCTCTTTAGGGATTGCCAGCACCCTCCCAAGAATCCGAGTGCACACTCTGTTCTAATGTTCTCTGTGTTAAGAATATTCCTTGTTAATTATTTCATTAAGATGTGTCCACGTGATCCCATATGAGACACTCATGTTTTTGGAATTAAGCCCAAATCTCATTTATCTCCCACAAATAAGTTTCTCACATTAAACAATAACTTGCAGATCAAAATGGAGGAAAGGAATCTTGCCACACAAGTCTGAGGCAAAGCTAAGGCTCACTTTTCCATAATACATAAAATGTAGTTGGGTGGGGTTCCCCCCCCAATACTCAAACTATTTCCTGTTTACAGTTGGCAGGTGCTATTTCTCCTAGTTCATTCCTTTTAAAAACTGATCTTGAAAACAATGAAGTCCTTGCTAAGCTATGGCAGAATTCTAAGTTGTCCATAGATCATTTGGATGGGGTGTGGATACCCCCCAAAAAGCAGACATTTAAAAGAAAGCACTGTTAAGGAGAAACAATCTTTAAAATGGATTTTGAGGGTTTATGAAAAACATACAAGAACAGCAGACTGACTACACGCTGGTGTCGGCTTTAGAGGACACGTTTGGAACAGATGGGCCCAGAGATTCAAAACACTCCCATCTGCGAGGGGGAAAGGGCCCTCGAATATTCAAAACAAAAGGAAGAACACCTTGCAGCTACAGACCGACCACGTTATCTCAACTGCCGACCTGGCCCAGACCCCAGTTCTAAGAGACAGCCTTGCCCCAAGGAGGCGCCCTGGGGCTGGACTAACCTCTATCCCCCCGCCCCCCAGCATGCCCCTATGGCAGTCTGAGCCAAGAAGAAATGTATTACAGCCCCTCATGGCTAAGTCCAAATGCAGGGAAGCAAGCAGCCTCAAGAGGCATGCAGGAGTAACTAGGAAGTGAGCACTGGGCCCTCAGAGTTCACAGGCTCACAATCCAGTCCAGGCAAGCACAGGGTTTGGCACAGCTGCCTCGACGACACCTGAGTCCACTCTGGTTTCTACCTTGGGCATCAAAATCTAATCAAAATCTAACCTAAAATATTGTCAGTCACTACCTACTACTGTAGCAGTGGCTTAGACTTCATTCTGCTTTTGTTTTTTATTCTGGTAGTCTCCTTTCTAAGTACCATCAAGAGAATTCCATCAGCAAATCATTGGTCAAGACTGCCTCCTTTGCCTCCCACTTCCTGTTCTCCAGCCTTGTATCTTCTGTTTTGGGGGTGGGGGGGCGGGGAACGGGTTCTAGGCTGGCCAGAAAGAAAGGAAATTGACTTTCTGGATGTTCTGTGGTTCCTGTAAAATACAACTCCTGTGTTCTGCACCGAATCTCACCTAGGCTGCCACACTAAGCCACTAGGAATGACTTCCGACCACCTCAGAATACAGACGACGGTGTGCTTCCAGGTCTGTGTCTGAGTGTTTCTGAAACGGCTCCACTCAACTTTTAGTAAAACTGCACCAATATCAAAATTAGGAATTATTTAAGGACTGGGCGCCTGGGTGGCTCAGTTGGTTGAGCGACTGCCTTCGGCTCAGGTCATGATCCTGGAGTCCTGGGATCGAGTCCCACATCAGGCTCCCTGCTCAGCGGGGAGTCTGCTTCTCCCTCTGACCCTCCCCCCTCTCATGCTCTATCTCATTCTCTCTCTCAAATAAATAAATATTAAAAAAAAAATGGGTATTCTATTTAAAAAAAAAAAAAAAATTATTCAAGGACTCCCTAGCAGAAACCATCGAATTTATTCTTCCTGATGACTTAGTAAATACTGAATGTGCTAGCCAAAGTAAACCCATTTTCTAAAAGAGGAGTTTAATCTATCACAAGGTAATTTTTTAAATCATCATCACAAAAATCAAGCACGACTGTTGAACTGCTCACTGCCAAGGTATAGATGTAAGTCATTTAATGCATTCACTATGTTCCTGAAGATTTCAATTTTTTAAAAGTGAGTTAAAATTGTAATTCCAGAGGTGCTTTATCATCTTGTCCTATTTATGTTCCACTTGGAAGAGGAACAAATCTTCTACAAAGTTTCTATTTCACCCAGCTCGCCATATAAATGTTCTGATAAGAAAATAGTTTAAAAGAGCCCAAGGGTGTAAAAGAATTCTTTCTTGCTATAAATAACTATCTCTAAATCTTTTTTTTTTTTTTTTTTTTTTTTAAGTAGGGTTCACAAACCAGGTCTTGCTCAGGTGATATGCTCACCAAGTCTACACTACACCAAGTCTGGCCCTGAACCTGACACACAGTTGTGTCAGTAGCCCTTCATCTTTCCATGGAACAGCATGCATTGCACACACAGCCTGACGTGCCCCTGTCTGTGGATGACTGATGTGGCGGTTGGTTCCCTGACTGCCCCAGGGAAGCAACGTGGCTGTGACCCAAACCCACAGGAGAAACCCGTTCCTGCAAACACTGGGCCTTTCTCCAGCACACACTGGGCTCTGTGGGACAAGAGAGTTTTAAGGAAGGGGCAGAGAGATTTAAATCTCCACAATCCTCCATAAAAGTGATCACAAACATAAATGCACCCCCAAATAATCAGCAGGCTCTATAGAATGCAAATCAAGAAGAATGAACCTCTGGAGATGGCAGCAAGGTCTGGGGGAAGGGCATGGCTCACCTCCCAGCCTGACCACTGGCTCCCCAGGTCACAATCCCTCTGGCCTTCAACAGTAAGAGTGATACGTGACCTCAGTCCTCACAGGCCTGTGAGGTAGGTGTGTGGAACTAGTTTGTTCGTTGTCATGGTTTCCCATCCTACCTTCAAGTGGCCCTGAAGAGAGCAAACGGAGGTCTATCTGAAGGCAGGTTAGGTTGCACAGTAAAGGTTGGTCCACTTCCTATAAGGGCCCCAGCCTCTTCCCTCTCTACTGTACAAACCTTCCACAGTGGATTCCCACCATTCATTCCCAAACCTTTAACATGTTTTCCAGAGGGGTGGAAGGGAGATGGAAAGTAAGAAAGGGACCACACTGAGATCCTATGAGGCCGAGTAAGAGGTAAAGTCCACGTTCGAACATGCCCCCTGGTACCAAGGAACACTGCAGCTTTCTCACCCTGACTCCTGGGAAGTGGGGAGGTCAGGTGAAGGACGGTACACGACCGGGCCTGCCATAACCAAATGAGGGACCACACACGAGCAAGACGGTGAAGCCTGCCCACTCCCGGATGGAGCTCACGGTTTGCACTGGAGTTCACACTGCAGCCTCTGACCTCCTCTGTGGCCTCTTCGCCTTGGACTGGGCATCACTGAGACGGGGGCTTCTGGGAGCCCTCCCTGCGCTTACTCTCCTCTGCTGGGCTGCACTCGGACCCGGTGAGCAAGGACTTGTGCCCGCGAAGCGTGTGCGCATTCAGCATCTCCAGCAGCAGGTCGTAGACTGGGACCACGTTCTTGCATTTCATGTTAAGCAGGTGTTCCATGCCCTTGTTACTATGGGGACAAAAAGATGCCGAGAGTCCTTCCTGGGAGGCAGCCATGGGAACTCTAAAATCTTCTCCAACTCTCCCCAATAAAGCCAGTCAACCCTCCACCCCCTGAACTTGCCCCAGCCATTTCTTCTAGGGTTCTTGCATCTGGCTCCTTCGGTCACCTACACTTAAGGGCAAGCAAGCACCTTAGTGTCCCATCACCCACCCACAGTGGCCCGACAGCACCTGGCAGAGTGCAGTTAATTCTCATTGTGCATAGTAGTTGTGTTCTACAAAGTCACCGCCAACACTGAATTAGCAAATACATTGCTTCTGCGGGAAATGCAGGGTTAGATTCCTGAGAGGCTCTGGTCACATTTTCATAACCCAGTTAATACATAACCTTGGTGTACCTGTTTTTGTTTAAAGACACCTTATTTAACATAAATTGTTGCTTCATTAACATTTAACTCACAGCCGACCCTAGCGCAGCTCACGCATGAACAAAGCTAACCCGACACGCATATTTTCTCCGTAAGGCACATCACAGCCTGCTTGCTCTTAGAACACTGACAGCACTTTATTCAGCACTATGCTTGGGGGCCATTCATAGACAGTGAACTCGCCAACAAAAAGCACAAAAATGCAAAACATGGCACTAACTAGACCACACAAAGGACATTTCTTTATAGTATGAGAGCCGAAACAACACAAGTGTCTCCTTGCTTGACCTCAGTTGGGAATGTAAGTGTGGCAACTCAAATTTTTTGCCACCCTGAGCCTGTCCTTGAAGGACCACAGAAATGCCACTAAGTATGGATCCAGGGTTTACAAATAAGTTTTTAAAAGTAATCAAATTTGCAGGGCGCCTGGGTGGCTCAGTCGGTTAAGCGTCTGCCTTCGCCTCAGGTCATGATCTCAGGTTCCTGGGATCGAGCCCCACATCAGGCTCCCTGCTCAGCAGGAGTCTGCTTCTCCCTCTCCCTCTGCCACTCTCCCTGCTTGTGCTTTCTCTCTTCTGCCAAGTAAATAAAAATCTTAAAAAAAAAAAAAAAAGGGTAGTCAAATTTGCAAATACAGACTCGGCGACTAATGAGAGTGGACTGAACCTGTTCTGCAAATGGTTGTGTGTCAATAATCATTCAGGAGGAAACAAAGCAGAGGCTATTTTCTTCCTCCTTGTTATAATTCCTGAGGTGAACACTGTCCCCCCACAGCCTCTAGACTTTCCTCCTCCTTGGGTAGCAATTACTTTCCATCCTCCCTCCCCTCTGCCAGCCCCAGGGCAGGGCCACCCTCATCCTGGGAGCCACCAAGCACCAAGCATCTCTCTACCAGCACAGAGCTGTCGTGCAACACCCAGCCCCCTTCATCAGCGCACACGACTGATGGTCCCTGAATACACTACTCACAGCCCTACCTTCCAAAACCTGTGGGCCTCCCCGGTTTTCTCAGGTCTCATTCCTAACGTCCTAATGCTATCACAAGAAAAGACCCACTCCTGGGGCAGGCTTTGTGTACGTCTGCAGATCACTAGCCTCAGGAGTTGATCTAGAGAAGCTGAGTTTAGCCTCCTCAAGAAAATGACCTCAGAGTGGTTGGTGGGGCAAGGAGCGGTGGCCATTCACATTAGCGGAGAAACAGCCCCTTTTAGAATTCCATAAACAAGCCCAAACCCCAGCAACTAAAAAACAGATGAGGAATGCCATAAATATCCTATACGACGGCACATGACATCCATTCAGTGCCCACTATGCTGATCTTTGGCCACAGGTGCATGCCCTGATGAAGAAACCGCCCTCCCCCATTCCCTTTCAGGGGTTTATTTTCCTTTAGAGGTAAAAATTCTACCTTATCACTCTCAAACTTGCAAACACCTTCCCCAGAGCACTTTGGCCTTCGCAGGGCACGTGCACCCCCACGCCCCACCCCACACATCCAGAGGAGCGGCCCCCGCAGGGATTGTACCTGGCATGTCTAACGTGAGAAAGGAGCATCAGGAGGTTAGCCAGGCGCACCGGCTGCTGCTGGGAGGGAATCCCGCTCTTGGCAATCACCCAGACCAGGGCGTCGGTCACTGCGTTCAGCAAGTGAGTCAGCTTCCGGCTGCTCTCAGCCTCCTGGGTTGCCGCAGCTAAAGGGTACATACCTGGACAAAGAATAACAGCCATGAGTCACCGCTCGGAGAATAGGAAATGGAAGTCAGGTGCTCAGCCGGTAAGCATGGCTCCGTTCTCCAGGAGGGGGGCCAAATTGATCTGGGTTGTTCTGACATCTGCATGTGTGGTGAAATCCCCGGCCCGTGATGTCCTTCCCCCAAGGGCCAGCCCCGTCGCCAAGCCTGGCTGAATGCGGGCCTGCTGACTGGTCTCTCAGAACACCACCCGGCCCACAGCTGAGGCCTTTCCTAGCAGTAAAACTATCTAGTGGCCTGAGGCCATTACCTGCTGTTTCTCAGCTGTAGCAACAAACACACAGAGGTGGTCAGAAAGTGACATCAATTCTACTCTCAGCCGCCAGGAGGGCCCCTCATCAAAGGGGAGTTTAACAAGCATGAACTAAGGACCACTGCCATGCAGCCTGCCTGGCCCCGCCCCCCTCGTGTGTGCCACATGCAGACAGCCAGACTGGACCCGCGGCCAGGCCCGGGGCATCACACCTCTGGTGGCACCTTGCTGGGGCAGGAAGACCACCTCTAGCTCTCTGCCCCCAGACCAGCTTCCTAGCTCTTCCAGCCCAGCTCCTCACTGAGCAAAGCTTGCAGGCGCATGTCTCCCGAGGTTCCCAAAACCACCGTAGGAGGGAGGTTGCTTCCCTTATCCTGCCCGGCCCTGCTCTGTGTTTAATTCCCCTCTGACTCTAGGATCAGAGATACTGTAGCCTCCCAAAATCTGTAAATTAACAGCTCCAGTAGATCTTCTTGCCCCCATCCCCCACCACCAACCCCAATTCCTTCAAATCCTGGAAGCAGGGAAATAATTAGCTTCTCTACTAGGCTTTCCGTTTCAAAGCAAGTATAAAGGGCAACTCTGTGAAATCCTCAGGGGGGCTGCCGGCTGTGGGCTATAATGATCATGAGGACCGACACACCATCATCCACATCCACTGCCCATTTGGGCAACTTTTGTTCTCTATTTTTATTGGCATTTGCAGTTCAACTAAGGTAACTCAGTTCAGTACAGTTCAGTTGAGGCAAGGGACATCCTGAAGCACAATTATGCAAGTGTCGTGTTTCCCCACATCCCTGGGGGCACGTCCCTCCGCAATGTCTGACAATGCAGACTTAAAATAGTCCGCTTCTTACAAGAGCCCACAACTGCTTCTCTAACTTACCTGCTCACCTCGTTCTCCACAGTGACTCTTCCTGGCCACCACCCAACATCCTCAAAACTCTCACTGAACCCCACAGCAGGTAACCTGTTCTCCCACTGCAGGGGAAGTAACACCACCGTTGGCCCCGTGTACCGCCCCCCCACCGCCCCCGCAGTGGCCAAAATGCAGACCTGCTCATGTGGCTCCCTTCCCAGCTCTTGGGCCCGAGTCCAAACCATCTGGTGCAGCTCTCAAGGGTACCAGGCCTCCCTCTGCTCTTTTCATCCTCATTTCCCACCACACCTCACCTTGAACCTTACTTTCAACTCCAGAGCACGTGACGCATAGAACACGCTGAAGCTTTCTACTTAGGAACGCTCTCTTCCCCTCCCCCTCCTCCTCTCCACCCTCCCTTCTCTTATCTACATCCACTCCTCCTTTAGATCCCAGCCCGGTTGTGAACTTCCTTCTGGAAGCTTCCCTGACCTCCTTACCATCCTACCTTAAGTCTATTTTGGGTTCTCTGGAGCTCTGATGGTGCCCAGTGCACCCCCAGCAGAGGGCACCATGTTGTCCCACATCCTGGATTCCCTTGTACACACCCCATGGCCACCCTCCCAATCCTCAGAGACACTGGACAGAAGCACTTTGAGAGTAGAGACCCTGTCCATTATATCCTCATTACCTAGTCCAATGACTAGCATGGAGTAAATACCCACAAGTGGAAGAATTAGGCTAAATTTACACAGGTTCAGATTTTTGCATTGTTTTAGCCAATCACATCATCATAATGGAAATGATAAATATGCATGTTTCAGTCTGTTCTGCTACATGATGTGTGCTCCATGGATTTCTATTGTCATATGTTTTTGGATTCTAAAAGGAGTTAAAACCGTGTACTGGTGGGCGCCTGGGTGGCTCAGTTGGTTAAGCGACTGCCTTCGGCTCAGGTCATGATCCTGGAGTCCCGGGATCGAGTCCCACATCGGGCTCCCAGCTCAGCAGGGAGTCTGCTTCTCCCTCTGACCCTCTTCCCTCTCGTGCTCTCTCTCTCTCATTCTCTCTCTCTCTCTCAAATAAATAAATAAATAAATAAATAAATAAATCTTAAAAAAAACAAACAGTGTACTGGTACTTGTGTCAGTCCAAAGTCATAAAGTGAAAATATAAAAATAAATCCTCAGCTAGGATACAAATGTTCATAGCAACATTACTCAGGATAGCCTAAAAGTGGAAACAAACCAAGTGTCCATTAACTAAGAAATGGATAGAAAAATATGGTATACAGCAGAATATTACTCAGCCATAAAAAAGAACAAAATACTGATTCATACTACAACATGGATGAACCTTGAAAACCTGATGCTAAGTGAAAGAAGCCAGTTACAAAGAACCACATTTTGTATAATTCCATTTATTGGACCTGTCCAGAATAGGCAAATCTATACAGACAGAAAGGAGATTAGTGGCTGCCTAGGAGTAAGGGTGAGACAGAAATTAGGTAGTGATGGCTAATGAGTACAGGTTTTCTTTTGGGGTGATGAAAATGTTCTAAAATTGGTTGTGATAATGGGTGCATAAGTCTATGAATACATTAAAATCCACTGAATTGTATACTTTAAATGGGTAAATTGTATACTACGTGAATTCCTCTTCATAAAGGAGTAGTCATTGCCAAGGGCAAGCTCTGGGTCTTCTATAGGCTATGGGGGCAGCCAGCTCTATGCAGGACCATCACTAACAAGGAGTTTGGGGACAGGAGTCACTGAAGTTTTGGAAGGGCTGTATCAATGTTAGATATGGGAAATGCTTTTATATGCAAAAAGACTAACCTATATAAAACCATCCCGGGAAGGAACTGGGCTGAAAAATACCCATTTTGCTGCCTCTTTGGTCAGCAGTGCCATGCCTGTACTTGGGGCATTCACACACCCTCGGGCTCACCAAACACGTATTTACAGAGTAATTGCTAAGTATCAGGCTCTGGCAGAAGCAGGAGACAGGACACAAAGCCCCTGCCTCTAGGATGCTCACTGCCCAGACACACAGGAACCAAAAAAATCAATCTCCTCTACCCGCCAAAAGTAAAAACATTAGTTAGGATTCATTCTAGAACAAAAATTAAACTACTTTTCATGAAACTAAAGAAATACAGCATAAAAGGCAAGATCTTGGCACCATGCCCCACACATACCAAAGAAAGTAAAATAAAAACAAAGACAATCTCCTCTCCTTTATCACCTGGGAACAGCTGTGTGTCCCTGTCACTAACCCACCTGATGACATTCTGAGCAGCACATGGTGGGGGTGGGGGAAAAGCCCCCACGATCTGCCACATCCTATGTTCAAAGGATGAAGATACACTGAAGGGAAATAAATCAGAAAATCTAAAGTGTTTAATAAAGACCCCAGAATACTAACCAAAGGAGAAATGCCTGGCTTTTAGGAGGCATATGATATGTTGTGTTTGTTTATCTGCTTTAAGGAAAGGAACCCCTAGCTGTGAGCCATCCCCTTATCAACATCTCCTACCCCAGCACCGTAAGAACAGGCTGGTGTCTGGGAAGCACCCATGATACGAAACCAGCAGGCCCACGTTCACAATGCTCTGCCCCCACGTTCTCGATCAACAGAAAAGCACCTGTCTTGCCTCTTCAGCATCCTTCTCTGTGTCCTGTGTGCCTCTGCCTTCCACCCACCCTCTTCACAGGAACTCTCCCCAAAACTCAGAGTGAACCAGGGCTTGAACTGACATGTCGATCATCTTAATGTCAAAGAGGACTGCCTGGCTCTAAACCTCCATTTCTTTCATGGAACAGAAAGTTTGATCTTTTTTAAGCCTTAAAATTGTTTAAACAGACCTATTCCTAATTTTAAATATTTTTAAAGACTATCTACAGATTGATCCCACTCCATATCCTAGATTCAGTACCCTTTAATTCTATCCAACCCAAGACTTACTCAGTTTTTTCAGATTTCTGGGTGACCAGATGGCTGGTCCCACTACTCTTAATTTGGATATGTTGTTATATTAACTACACTTGTACAATACCTCTGAGTTCTGAAACACTTTAGCAAGCACTGTAACAGGTTGTCAAATGCAATGTTTTCTGTGATCTCTGAGTTTTAGGAGCCTCATAAGAGGCTGAGTACAATAACGTAGTTCCAAGAACCCCCCCCCCATCCTATACATGCGTGGTGGAAGAGGGTGTGCTGAGAGAGAAATTCAACTGGGGATGTCCTTTCCCTATCTCTCCCCACAGCAAGGACGATGCTTTTCTGCTACTCAAGTCTAGCAAGGACCAGACCCGACTGACTGTTCCAGTATATATCCCTATTCGAGCCCAAAAGCATGTTATCTAGTTCACTTTGACATTTTTATCATTTAGAAGTCACCAGCACATACCTGAAGCTAAATAAATATTTACTGAATTGAAATTGGATAATAGGGGCGCCCGGGTGGCTCAGTCATTAAGCGTCTGCCTTCGGCTCAGGTCACGATCCCAGGGTCCTGGGATCAAGCCCCGCATCAGGCTCCCTGCTCGGCGGGAAGCCTGCTTCTCCCTCTCCCACTCCCCCTGCTTGTGTTCCCTCTCTCGCTGTGTCTCTCTGTCAAATAAATAAATAAAATCTTTAAAAAGAAAAAAGAAATTGGATAATAAAGTTAATATTCATTCCATGTCATACACACTATTAGAAGAGATAAATAACCCAGAAGTATGCAGCTATTTAAAATGTAACCACTGGGGCATCTGCCTTCAGCTCAGGTCATGATCCCGGGGTCTTGGGATCGAGCCCCACATCGGGCGCCTTGCTCAGTGGGAAGTCTGCTTCTCC